TGAGAGAGAGAGAGAGAGAGAGAGAGAGAGAGAGAGAGAGAGAGATCTTAAGGGGGACTTCAAGTGGGAATGTGATCCTGAGTGGGACTTCAAGTGTTAACATATGAAAACAATAAATAAACCAAAACATGGGTATTTCACCTAAAGGAAGGAGAGTTGTAGGCTCAAAAGGGTGTGTACAATGCAATGTAGCATGTGTACAATGCAATGTGGCATCTTCTGTACGGGTGTGTACAGAAGTTGCTTTTTATTACCATTTAAACCACTTTATTGTCACAACTTAACAGAAGTGGATGGCTTTACAGCACTTTAAAAATGGGTACAGAGCTTTAAATTAACCCTTGTTAAATGAGGTATTACATTCGAAGCAACTGTATTTAACAGCACTGCAGCAACCTGCAGTGCTTTAACCAACTTCTGTACACTAGTCAAATTTCTGACCAGTGGAGGAGCCCCAGGAGGTTGTGGAGCATTGCCTCTTAGCCTGGAAAGTACGGGCACCCCCACCAAACACTGTACTTCTGTCATGTTTAAAAACACTGTAACTTAGTGCTATAAAAAGTTCTCTAAATTACAGCACTACTGTACACACCCTGCATGTTAACCCAGCACAATTATTTTGCATTGTCCCCTTGTATGCCATGCAATGGTAGGGGGTATATGTGGTCAAATACTTCTCAAAGCAAAGTGTTCCTGACCCCTGACTAGTTACATTGCATCAGTCTTGCAAAGATGTGAAAAGTGTTTGAAGCCCACAGGGTAAAACTCACTTTTAGGTGGTATCCCTGTTCTGAGTGTAGTATTTTACTCTGCCCGTAGCGTTGTTGAAAATATTGGTGCTATTAACAGAGGGAATATCTCAGCCTCTAGCTTTTCGGATGAAAGTCTCATCACTGCATGTTTCAGGAATGTATTTGGCCCCAGTTGCAAGGGCGTACAGAAATCCAAAAATATTATAACAGTAAATATCCAAACCCATGAGATTGTTTTGCATATAAAATAACCATAATTTTCCTGTAAGTATGGCAGCTAAACAAAACTGTTGTTGTGTTATGCTGATACAAAGATCTGAATAACACTGGAGCTGTTGTATTACAACCAACCTTTATAAACCTAACCTGTTTCTTCATTACTTTTAAAGGTCTTTAAAGGCGTATCAGCAGAAAATCTCACGTCTTTCTGGGGACTTAAGTGGCCCAGTGACCCATTCTGATCCTTCAGGCAATTAGCAGAGTAGCAGCTAAAGTCCTGCCCTCTGTTGTTCTCTCTATAAGCCACCCAGGCAGCTCAACATTCATTTAACTTAGCTCCCAGCCAGTTTATTTGCTTGTTATGACAACAGCTCATCAAAACAGCTTGTCCACTCAGAGGCAAAATCCCCAGATCTTAAAAGTAAGCAACGTTTTAAAAAAAGTCTCATGGAGAATCACTGTCCCCTGCAGCACAGCCAGCTTTGACTGCAGGCCAGCTTCAAACAGGATCAGGCTGTGCCAGGGGCTTGAGGCAGGGCAAGGCCTGCAGGAAAGGGAGCAAGAGCTCCCCTCATTGAGTTCTGCTGCTGGGAAATGTCTCTCAACTGTGCTTTCCTGGCTGAGAGAAAGTACAAAGGGTTTTTTTCTTTTGGGAACCCAGGATACCTCAGTCTCCAAAATATGTTGGCCATGCCCAGCTGGGTTACCTGTGACTGCCCGTGTGCGTGCGCACGCACGCACACGATGCTTCAACCACCAAGTATGTTGGGTATGGCCTGTTATCTGTGACCTCACATCCAACATACACACATGCACATGTGTGCACATGTGCAGACACACACACGCATGATGCCTCAACTACCAAATATATTGGGTGTTCCCTGTTATCTGTGATCTCACACCCACCACACACACATGCATGCATGTGCACGCACACGAGATGCCTCAACTACCACAGATGTTGGGTGTGCCCTGTTATGTCCGACCTGGCATCCAACACACACACTTCTGCAAACAGGCCCTGGGTGCAACTTTCCCGGAGGAGAGGCCGGGCTGCGGGAAGCAGAGGCCGGGCGGGGGCGGAGGGTGTTCATCGGCCTGCTGTCGGGCTTGTGTGCGAGAACGAGGGAGGGAGGGAGGAGGGAAACGAAACGCGGGTGTGTGTGAGGGGGAGTGTCCGCGGGCGAGCGAGGAGACGGGAGTTGTGTCACTGCCGGAGCCCAGTCGGGGGCTGAGCCGCTGGGCGAGGCTGCGCTCCGCTCTCGCTCCCGGCGCGGCGGAAGGCGGCCGGGTGGCGCAGCCTCGCTCTCCCTGCGAGCCCGCGGCTGCGGCGGGACCCGACCAGCGGCGGGAGGTAAAG